CTTTCTTCCTTCCTTCCTTCCTTCCTTCCTTCCTTCCTTCCTTCCTTCCTTTCCTTATTTTTTAAAAGATTTTATTGGGGAATTGGGGAAGGGGAACATTGCGTTTCTCCAGGACCCATCAACTCCAAGTCAAGTTGTTATCCTTCAATCTTTCTTAGTTGTGGAGGGCGCAAGCTCAGCTCCAAATCCAGTTGCCGCTTTCAATCTAGTTGCGGGGAGGGGTGGGGGGGAGCGCAGCCCACCATCCTATGTGGGAGTCAGATAGGTAACCTTGTTGTTAAGAGCACACTCTTTTACCAGCTGAGCCATCTGGCTGCTGGCTAGGAGCTCAGCGGCAGCTCAGCTCAGGCGCAGCTCACTGGCCCATGTGGGAATTGAGCCGGTGACCCTGTTGCTCAGAGCTTGTGCTCTAACCAACTGCACCACCCAGCCGGCCCTTTGTCTCTCTTTCTTTATCTTTCTGTCTTTTATAAAAGAAAACACAATGGCAGGAGTGTTAACCAGGAAAATTAGGTAAGGTCAACTGTAATCAACCGGCAATGCCACTCCTAGATATAGACTCAAAATAACTGAAATTTTCATCACACAAAACCTTGTACATAAATGTTCACAGCAGCATTATCCATAATAACTAAAAAGTGGAAACAACCATATGTCCATCAGCTAATGAATGGATAAGTACAATATGATATAACTGTACAATTAAATATTCAGCAAAAAATAATGAAGTACTTATATATGCTAAAATATGAGTGAATCTTAAGAGCATTATACTAAGTGAAAGAAGCCAGTCACAAAAAATTACATATGATTTCATTTGTATGAGATGCCCAGAATAAGTAAATCCATAAAGATAGAAGTAACTTAGTGGATGCTAAGGACTGGCATATTAAGGAGGAATGGGAATGACTGCTAACAGGTATGAGGTTTCTTTTGAGGATGATAAAAATGTTCTAAAATTGTTTGTGGTGGTGATGTGCATAGCTCTGTGAATATGCTAAAAGGCATTACATTTTACATGGTAAATGGATGAATTATATGGTATGTGAATTACACCTCAAAAAACCTGTTAAAAAACAAATACAAATGCAACTAACTGAGCCAATCTTTTTCAGAAAAAAAAAGAACAGAAAAGAATTTATCCCAAAGAAAAATAAAAAAATAGAAACAATTTAGCTTTGCTAAAGAGAAAATTGATTATGGAATTAAAGGTGCTTGCTCCAGAAAATACTTTCTCTTCAAAAAATTATGCGTTCCAAGTAGCAGATTCAAAATGTCCTGGGTGCTTCCAAATCTCTTTGATCTTTCTGATCTCAGAACTCCAGTAATAGTCATTGTCTTCATTATTCATTGGAAGTTAGTTGTGGAGCAGGAATATATATAATCTGGAGAAGCTGATTATCTCTACCCTATGAAGGGTCATTTGAGTCGCCTTCTCATTTATACAAATGCAGAAATCCTCCTTCCCCCATTCTCTTGAAATTAGGGTTTTATAAGACCTTTATGTATTATGTAATTTGGAAAAATTTTTCTCTCACCATGTTTTTCAGAGCTTGTGGCCAAAGAGGAGTGAGTCAGTTTCACCCAGGGCCTTCTGGGATGGAAGGAAAAGATGTCTGATCTGTCTTCCTTGTATTTGAGGTCAGAGAGTCTTGTTGAGGAAAGGTAGGGAGCAGTGTCTAACTACATCCCAGGAGCTGGAAGAAAGGCCCCTTGAAATGAAATAAGGCCATACAAGTGTTGATTTTGTCCCAAATGGATTTTGATATAACTTTTTAAAGACTGTACAAGTAATATATAATTAACTTAGAATAATTGGAAAATTCAAAAGAGTAAAAAAGAAGAAGAAAACAAAAATTACCCCATATTCTATCCCATTATCCAGAACTACTGTCGTCAGTCATTTTAATGAGTCTCTTGCCTCATTGGCTAGCTCTATCTACCTATCTATCTAT